TATTTCTACCACTGAGAGGTACTGGCATACTACAGTGTTTTATTGTAGTTTGAAAATACTGTAATTGTGTGTCATTTCCTTGGATTCAGATTGTGGGTGCAAAGATACCATTTAATTTCTTAAGGTCCAGAATGCATGGAAAAGTCAGGTTACAGGCTGAAATGTTCGCTTACCATTTAATAAGAGTTTTAACCTAGTCAATGAACATAGTTTCTCTGAAACTCTCTGAAGCATAGGAATTACTTATATATATATATATATATATATAATAGGATCGTGTGAAAATCAAGATCATACATTAACTCAGGACTTGAAACAGATTTGTTGACCTAAGTCTGAGTTAGTAAGACTATCTGTACTTCCTTAGAAAGTGTACTCACACACAAAACTACACAATAAAATACAAATGCGATCTGTGGCTACTCAAATTAAAAGAAAAATTTAACTCCAATTCCTCACATTCTAAGAGCTCAGCAGCCATTATGACCACCACATCATCACAGAAACCTATTAGATAGTAGTTGTTATACCTATCCAGGTGCTGAAATAGGTCTTTCTGTACCTTGGTGATAGATTTCAATGCAGGTACTCTCTCATCAAATTTTTACTTTTTACACAAAGCATACTACACTGTGCTTGCTTTCCTCACCACTCCAAGAAGTTTTCTTACCCACTCTATACATTCTCCACTTAATCCTCACAGCAATCCAGAGTAAGATAATAGCATTTACTTAAAAAAAAAAAAAATTATGCATATATAACTAGGGTACAGGCCAGAGGTGTAGGGGTGAGAAGATTCACCAAAGACAGAGGGGGAGCAGAACAAGCAGAGTTAACAGAAGTACACTGCTAAAGGGAGTGGTGGGCAGGCCAGGTGAGGTCTGCTGCACCATGTGGGTCACCTCCTGGCAGGGGATCAAACTGGAGCTGAAGTGGCTGTGGCTAGCTTCATAGAGCTGTGCTTCTTAAAAGTTGCGCCACCAGGAGGAAGAGCCCCTCCACTCAACACATTCTTTTACTGATACTCAGCTATATCCTCTCCAAAAGTAGTCTTTTCCTAACCCTTCCCTTTCCAACTTGTTACGGAAATGACTCCTTCCCCTCACTGCTGTGGTTCTTCATCTTGGTAGCAAAGTGAAATAACAGTGGCTTGACACATACTGATGCTAAAGAGCTCCAGAGATTTAGTCAGTCTTGAGATAATACCTGGTTAAAAGGACTTTAAAAGTTCCTTGATAATTTTAACACAAAACCAAGGTTTAGAATCACTCATTTGATACTCTTGTGAAACGCCTCCCAGTTATCTTTGTACAAGTACCTTCAAAACACCTGATATCACCATATCTTTTTTTCCTGTGTGGCACTTTAAAAAATCTGGCATGCTCAGGACTATAAGAGCAACCACATTCTCTTATGCACATTTACCTTGGGCCACAGGCACTTTTTTTTATTAACACCTTTGTCTTTGGGATTCATCCTGTTAAAAAAGAGTCCTCTCTCTTCTATAATGTTCTGTAATGAGTTTAAGCAATGGTGGAAAAGTCTCATCCAAGCTTGCAACAAAGGTTTTACTGTAACAGTCTTAAGCAGATAACCCCCAGCCAATGTTGTTTTGAGAGTTTCTCCTTGACTTACTTGATTATTAGGATTAATCTGATTGATGAAAACCCAAACTTGGAATTTTCTAACACCCTACACACTTAGTCTCCTCTCTAGCTCATCTGTGATATGTGTTTACCATTCTTAGTAAGTTTCCTCATTACTCAAAATTCCTCTAAATTCAACTGAAATGCATTTTCTTGGTCAAGGTGATTGGAACTAGGGTTCAGAAATTCAGATCTTATTTATGACATTGGTATAGCTGAATTTCCATATAAAAAAAAAGGGGGGGGTTTGGTGTCAGTAGGAGAGTTAAGTCTTACAGACTATCAGACAATGACTGATAGTTCCTGGTTCCCTTCCAAAAATAAAATTAGTACATTAGGAGTCAGTTAAGTACTGCCAGAGGCCAGCTGCACACTCTCAGAGCCAAGTGCAACCTTCCCCTAATCTCATTATATAGCTATTTTACTATTCCAACTATTTCCATAAAGCACCCCATTTCATTAGATTAGTAGTAGTTATGAATTGCATGGTGGTATCTTGGTCAATGACATGTAGCCTATATGTGTAGTAGGATAGTTACAAGTGTGTGTTAAGTATGATCAATGACATAACAATTGCGCAAGGATTTTTTTTTAGTGTCCCCATTGTTAACTGACGATACTTGATAATTTTATTATCTCTTCTGTTTCATTTCTTTCATTATCACACTTGAACTTTTGATCCCTCGCTACTTATTCTTTTGATCTTTCTAACATACTGTCTTAAACAGCATGTTTTTTAAGTTAGTCAGCATTTTCCTTTTACAGTTTATGGCTACTACAGATCACTCAAATGACGACTGCATTTATGTGTTCTACTCTTATTACATTCTCAATCCTTAGCTGAAGCCAGTTTCTGATTTCCCTTACTGTTTGATTATTTTCCTTTTGTTAGGTATACCTAGTTCCTGTCAAAAAGGGGCTTTCAAGTATAGACTGGTACTAATCTCAAAAATCCTTGCAGATTTCAGGTACCGTGGATACATCCAAACTACAATCTCATGGGAGCCCTCAGATTATCTAAGTTCACCTAAACAGTTTTAAACCAGCTCTTGATACTGGTGAGATAGCAAGCAATGATTTCTGAAGAACAAGTCACATTTAAAAACTATATAGGGGACCCTCCCTGGTGGCACAATGGGTTAAAGTGCAGCACTAAGAAGTTAGCCACAGCTGCAGCCACTTCAGCATGTGTTTGATCAGGGACCTGACCCACATGGCACAGACCTCTCCAGACCTGTCTGCTGCTCCTTCAGCAGTGTACTTTGTCAATCTACCTGTTCTGCTCCCCCGTTTCTGGTGAATCATCTCACCATGCCTGTACCACCTCTGACCTGTATCCCAGTTCTATATGCATAAATAAATCTTACCACATCTGTCTTTAAGAACACCAGTCTCTTTTTAAAGAAAAGCTGCTGATAGCTATTCTACATAAGCTATTTTGATCAAGTTTCTTTTATTAATTTGCTATAGTTTTAGCACAGGAGTCAAAGTATTAAGTAGATATATCACACCTCTGATTGTACAAACTTAAAGAGTAGTGATTTCTTACTTACATGAAGAAACTTTATAGCAGGCTGAGATCTACAATGTGAAGACTCTTCCCAGCAGGCAAGTTAAGAGTACTTTGCTTGATATTTTATCAAAACCCCGTTATGTGTGTAGACTTCCTGGGAACATATTATCATTTTCTAGTTACTAAAAGTGGTTCAACATGGGCTTTTTTTTTTGGTTATTGTTTTCTTCCTCCTTGATGGCACATGGATTAAAAGTAGACATTTTTATGTCCGGACCAGTGTATTTTAAATATTGATGGTCAACATAATCTCATAGGTTTATTAACATCTTAAAACTTTGACCTTCTAAACACTGTTTATTTCTTGTCTGTTAAATGCAAAAAGTTTGTGTAATATAAGATCAGAAAATAGGGTGGGTACAAGAATACTGACCAGGTTAACACAAAAGTTACTTTTATAATGTGGCTGTGGCCTTCAATGGTAGTCTATAGTTAAGCCTCTTTCTTCTATGTGCTTCATCACCTGTTTTATAACATGATTTGTAAGGTCCAAATATATAGCATATGACTTTTACCAATAAAACCTTTGCTACATGTTATGAGACAAGGGCAATTTTCTGATGAAGCGAGGGTTTGCACAAATGATAAGTTAGTCCAAATGGAACATGTTTTTGTCCTTCTGGTAGAAAAAAAAAGTATGAAACAAATCGGGTCTTTCTGAACTAAACAAGCACTAGAAACTGAAGGCTGTTTAATATATCCATCTTTATAAGTTTGGAATACTTCTAATACTATGCTCAAAAATCACTGCAGTTAAAGCAAATTGGGGGAAGGGATAAAAATTTGCTCATATGGAGTGAACTCATTTAAGTGAAATAAATATGTAATTCTTCGCAAAGTTCTGGTTACCTAGGAAGGTAGATATAGTACAGAAGACCAGGAAAGAACCTTCCTATTTTCAGGAATAATGAAGACCTCAGAATCCAGAAGGTCACTGAGGCTATAAATAGCAATCATAAGGACAAAATGTAAGCAGGTTTTCTTCAGCATTAAAGTTTTCCTAAAATCACAACATGTCAGTGTGTGTGTGTGTGTGTGTGTGTGTGTGTGTGTGTGTGTGTGATATCCTCTATATAAGGATTTTATCATACAATCAAAAATCGCAAATGAGTATCAATCAGACCACAAACATTAATATAAAGGCTTAATGAGTTCTCAAATCTTTTCATTTGGACATAAAAGCCATTTTACAAAATCATCTCCATTCTACTCAAAGTTACCTGTATCACTGATGCAACACCCACCCTCCCAATGAAATGTAAGTAGTGTATGTTGGTATGCATAATGATTATGAGTCTAAGAAAACTACATCTAATACATTATAGGGGTTTGTGGAGGCCGCTGTGAAACAAAGAATTTGAAGTAAACAATTATAAAATACAAAAATAAAAAACCAGGTTCTTTTTCTCCAAATTCCTGGTTTAATAAGGACTTGTTTATTTTGAGAAAAAAAGGTCCCAAACATCAGGCTGTTCACAAAAATAACCCACAGTATCAACTTTAGAAAACAAATCTTAAAGACTAGTACACTATTTTTCTAGAGGATGCATTTGACATGCCAACTCTCATTCACAAAAATACATGGTTACATCTGTGTTGACCAGCCCCACATAACACTAATGTGGGGTATAACACACATACCTCTAACTCAAAGCTGCTCTCGGGTGCTACTCAACTAATGAGATTGCCTTTGCAGTTAGGGAAGCAACTACTGAACTCATGTTATGAATGGAACAAACTGTACTCCCTGCATAACAAGAGATTATTTTGGAGACAGTTGATAAAAACCATACATCCTTTTTATTGTTAAGTCATAAAGAGGTATCAAAATTAAAAGCAAAAAATTACAGGGTGAGACTTAACATAACTACTAGGAGCGTCAAAGGAAGTGAAAATGGGACTAGGCGCAGGGCAGTATGAATTAATGAACATGGGAAGGACAAGGATGGGGAGAACAGTGAGCATGTGCTGAAGATACTAGGGGAGAGGATCTGGTGAAAATTTTGATTTTAGACAAGCGCCTAGATAAAGAAATAATGGGACAAGATTTCTAAACCCCACTATGTGCTTAAGAGTCATCCTCGCCATTGGCGCTGTCTCTGTCATCCTCTCCTTCCTCAGCCTCTTTTTCATCATCCTTGATCAACTCCAGCTGTGAGAAACAGACACAAACAGGATGGAGTTAGAGGCACTCCATGTGTCCCTGATCCCCCCTCCACCACCTCTTTCTTTCCTTTCCCGTGGTTTTCACCTGGTCATCCCCCCGATCTTCATTATCATCATCATCCAGTAGGTCCCCCTCCTCAGCAGAGTCATCTGCACCCCCCTCAGACTCCATCTTCACATTAGTCTCATCTTTCTTCAGGGAGCTGCTGCTCTGCTCCTCTTCTGACTTATCATTCTTCATCTCTACTGGGGATGAGAAGGACAAGTCTGTCTAGGGGCAAGTAATGTCCACAGATGTAGACAACCCCCACTAGTGTTCATAGAACTGCAGCACAAGTCTAAATCCTCCCACACAAATGCGCTTCCCAATTCAAACTCCCCAAGCTTCAAAGTCCACTATTCCAACATATACTTTCAACTACCTTAGATAACTAACCCAATTTTACAACCAACAATAGTAGGACCATTTACCTCCTTGTTTGCTCTGTTCCTTTTCAATTTTTTCCAGGCTTTCAAGTAGAGAATCCACTTTTTGTTTTATCTGGGTCAACTCCTTCTTAATTGTCTGAAGGTCATCTCCTTTCACTTTAATATAACAAAACCCTAGATTAGAATCAAATATACAGAAGGCTACCAGTTACTAAATCCTTCTCACTAAAGTATACACCAGGAGCCAACCAGGGATCCCTGGGGAGAAATGGAGCCAGTACCAGACTGTCCTCAGTAAAATGGGGACCTCTGCTCTTTGATTTGGTAGCTGAAAACTGAATCTCATCTGTCAACTCCCTTAGCAATAGCACTCTGATCTGTTGGCCTGCCAGAAGACTTTTAATTCTTATTTATTTATGCATACAAGAAATGGGGTGTAGGCAGAAGTGAGGGGGGTGAGAAGATTCACCGCAGAGTGGGGAGCAACAGGCCAGACAGGATGTCTGCTGTGCCTTGGCTGGGGACAGCTTGATAGCACAGACTTTCACCCTGCATCACCAATGAGGTCCTTTAGTTCTATTTTAAAGCACTTTCTCTGTTCTACTGATGCATTTTTTCATATATTTAATAGGTGCCTCAATTAATAGTCTAATGACTTCAAATTACCAAGGTTGTAGGGACAGAAGGGAGCCCGGGATTCGCCCCTTAGTCATTAACTACTTTTCATCATTTTGACTACATGAGCCATTTAAACAAAACCCGAACATGATTAACTGCATTAAAGTCCCCAATTTCAACACTCAAATAATATAAGAATCACAAAACTGCAACAATAACACATACACTTTCCAGATTTGGAAGAAGATCCTCGCTGTCCACTCTTAGAATTGAAGCCACTTTTGCCCCTTCGTGATGTATTTCCTGATACACGCTGGCGTTTCGAGGGCACTACAGCCCGAGCAATAGGAGGAGGAGGAGGAACACGAGCAGGGTAACTGTACATCCTATTGGATAAGAGAAAAAAAGAATTCCTTCATAATTAAGTTGGCAAGATTCAAAAAGTGACTTCATAAAATAAACATCCATCATCCTTTCATCTTCCCATTTTGCTAATTTCATTCAAAAGGACAATAAAAAGCTTCACACTGGTATTTTTACTAATGTAGCCACTTTTCTTCAAGAAAATATCCAATTAACGCTAGATATGTTGGTCTTAAGCACTGGACATAAAAAAGGTTCCTCCATACTGGGCAGTAATAAGAGTATTACTTTACAGTATCAATGGCTTTTATATTTTTCTTTAAAGATTTATTTATGCATACAAGAACTGGGGTACAAGCCAGAGGTATAGGGGGTAAGAAGATTCACCAGAGACAGAGGGGAGCAGAACAGGCAGAGTAACAGAAGTACACTGCTGAAGGGAGCAGTGGGCAGGCCAGGTGAGGTCAGCTTCCTGACTACAGTGGCTGGCAGTAGCTTGGAAGCAAGATCTATAAACCCTGCACCACCAGGGAGGGTCCCCTGAATTGCTTTTATAGCTTGATCTATTATTTACACATACATGCTAAACAAAGCAGCTTTTGTAAGTTAAATAAAGGACACTACCATAGAGGACTGCAATTAACTACATCTGTTAAAGGAGATATCTACTACTAGCTAAATCCTTGATTTGCTCATCCAAAGAAAATATAAATCATCACTTCTGGTGGTGTTAGGCGGAATCAAAGAATTGTCAAGAGTAACTATTCTAGACTTAATGAACAGACGCTTTGTATGTTGGCTGGGTACATGGTACCTCTGTCAGGCATATTCGTAAGCTCAAAACTCATCACTTTTCAAATGACCCCATGGAAAAGCAACCCAGTGACTGCTAAAGATGTTAGTCATCTCTGAATTTATAACTGTTCACTACTCATAGTAGTGAAAACACTGATGTTATGGTCTAGCTTTCACACAATTTTATTCTGGTCATTCCAACAATTTAGTCACTAATTTAGGTTTACTAATTTAACATATTAAAAAAAATTTGAACAAACTAGAACTTTACCACTATTATTGAATAAAATAGTTTACATGAATACCTCCAATAAGGAATACTTTAAATTTGATCCCCAAATACTGGTTCAAAAAATCAGGAAGGCCTTGATGTTTCAGAAGTTTCTTTTTAGTGGTTAAGTATTAACTAATAAGTCAATTTTAATCCATTTATGGAAATTAGCACAAACAAAACAGATGTTCAGTAATTTGTCATTATCTTCCCATCTTTACATAAAAGTTTTTTGGTCTTATTTGAAAGTATGATTGCACAAAAGGTTAAAGCTCAGCTCTATGGAGCTCGCCACAGCCACCACAGCACAAGTTCAATCCACAGCCAAGGAGGTGATGCACAGAGGTGGCAAACCGCTTCTGAGCCATCTGCTGTTTCCCTCAGCAGTGTATTTCAGTAGATCTGCCTGTTATGTTCCCCACTCCATCTCTGGTGGATCTTCTCACCTCCCCCTCCCTATCTTTGACCCATACCCTAGTTTTTGTATGCATAAGTAAATAAAAGCTTAAAAAAAAAAAGAAAGAAAATGAGGCAAAAAATGCAGTTTGTTTTTAATCTATGTAACAGACCCATAAAACAAAATTAAGGATCAACTGCTGGGGCCCTCCCTATTGGCACAAGTGGTTAAAAAAACAGCACTATGAAGCTATCAGCAGCTACTGCAGTTTGATCTCTGGCCTGGTGAAGTGACCCAAATAGCCCAGAAGACCCTCTTGTCTCACCTGCTGTCCCCTACCCCCAACAGTGTGTTTCAGTAAATCTGCATGTTCTGCTCTCTACTCTGCCTCTGGTGAATCTTCTCGAACACCGCCCCCCCTCCAGTTCTGGCCTGTACCCCAGTTCTTATATGCATAAATAAATAAATCTCTTAAGAAAGAGAGAGATCAATTGGTAATGTGAAGGGCTCTTGGTGCCAAATTACTGCCAACCAAGCCAACAATGGGCTCTCAAAACAGAAGATTTCTTCCTAGGAAGTTTAAGGAGACCATGTCACTCACTGTAAAGTATCAAAGTGCATGACACTTACTGTAACAGCCCTCACAAGGGATAGATAACAGCATCACAAAATATTTACTACAAACACAGGTTTTCAAAATTAAGCTTTGCAAATAACTGGGTGTGGCACACAGTGATCATCTTTGTGTCTCAAAATCCCTGCTAACTGGGGGGGTGGGGGGGACCCAGCACTTAATCACTACTGAAATAGTGGTTGTTGGAAATGTCCTAATGTATTTTTTCTGCTTTCAAAGAAAAATATACTGTGGCCTTTCCCACTACCCAACAGAAACCTGAATTAGGCTAGAGATGTGTGAGGGGATGAAAAGATTTACCAGAGTGAGAATGGGGAACAGAACAGGCAGGCAGGCTGAAATATATTGCTGAGGGATCAGTGGATGAGACTGGATGAGACAGAAGTCCATAGCTGGGGATGGAAATTGTGCTGCAATGGCTGCCCCATTGTGCTGAGACTTACACCTTGTGCCACCAGGAAAGACCCCTGGAATATATTTATTTAAGGTATAATTGTTTCCTATCTTAAAGAATTAGTAAGGGTAGCTCAATCCAAGTGTCAGGAGATAGTATATATAACAGCAAATTTTCAAGGTGAATTTTCATCCTGTTGACCACTGATCATCCTAGAAAAGATAGACTTAAGAGCAACTATGTTTTGGTTTTAATAAGTCTGAGAATCCCTGAATTTATGTGAAAATATGTGAATGTACACCCTTTTATTACAAGTTAAAATTACTGAGCCACAAACAATTCATTCTATGTAATTAAGTGAGACCAAATACAAAGTTCTATGTGCTCACTTCCAGGACAAATGCTTTGCATTTTATTTAGAGGTAAAGGGATAAACATATATAGGGCATGATGAGATTCAAAAGGAATGATTTAAGAACATGCACAAGAGCCCAATGAAGAAATAACCCATAAAATGCAATCTGTGGGATATAACTAGAGGAACGCATGAAAAACTATGTGACAGCTTACAAAATTTATGGTGTTTAAAAGCCAAGAGTGATTCTGCCACCCTAGTTCCAATGACTAGCTAAATGAACTTCCAACTGATGACAGATAACCTGCCTCAAAACTCTACCAGAACTCTGATGGAATTTACCACATTAATAATTTCTTTAAAGAGTTTAAATTAAACTAAGGTTTGGAGCGAAGATCTTCTACTATAATTGTTCTCACTTTGGTTCCTTACCAATGCCCCAAGAATTCAGAATATACCCCATTACTGAACATTCTGCATAATTTCGTAGAGAAGGCCTTTACAAACTTTATCTTAGGCATTTTGTGGAATGAAGTTAAGCATTATCTTCCATAAGCAAACTATCAGCTACTGATAACTCTGAGTGAAACTGTTGAAGAATCAAAGTCTTCATTAATTGCTATCTCTGGACTTTATAATTTATGTACAATTTGAATACTTTTTCCCCACTTTTTATAAGACTTTAAACTCTTCCATAGTCTACTAAAAAATTACCAAAATGTTTTCACTGGTCTATATAGGGTATACAACCTCAGAAGTCTTTTAATATCTTAACTCTCAAAAGACTTGTTTCATAATTGTAGATGGAATTCACTTACACCCAAAAATAAACTGACTACATTTCTGTAATGTGTCTTATTTCTAAATTAAGACGATTTCTAAGTATTACTTGTAAGCATTCTACCACAAACATACTGCCTTGATGATTTTGGGAGAAATCAAACTATACACAAATGTACATGCTTTGCAAATAAATTTATGGGTTGAATGCCAATTATCAAGGTAAACTGACTGTACTTTCTGTTCTTCAGGGTGCTTTTTATAAAAATTTATTTATGCAGAACTGGGGTACAGGCCAGAGGTGTGGGGAGTGAGAGGATTCACCAGAGTAGGGAGCAGAACAGGCAGATATGCCTAAGTACATTGCTGAGAGGAGTATCAGGTGAGACAACAGAGGTCAGCTTCCTGGCTGGGGACCTAATTCATGCTGCAGTGGCTGTGGATAGCAGCTTCGAGTGCTGTGCTTTTAACCTACTGTGCCGACAGGGAGGGCCCTCTACAGTGTGCTTTTATCCAGTGATCCACTATGGACATGGATTACCAGAAAAACAGTCCATTCAGTAACAGCAAAAACATTGCCAATCTACCTGTTAAAAGAGCTAAATGATAATAAACCATTCTGCTGTGAAGGATCCTTTAAGATACATGGAACTCAAATTGTTAAAACTTTAAAGGAAAAGAAACCTTGTAAACTAAAGGTGAAAATGGCAACAGAAGTTACCTCTGGAATCAAGAACCTTCTCCCATGACCTCCCTAGTAACACAGGGGGCTGAAGTGCTGCATGCAAAGCTAAGCCAAGCAGTAGCTACTCTTCCCCAGAGGCACAGCAGCCAGCAGCTTCCCCTAAGCAGTGCATTTCAGTCAATCTGCCTGTTCTCTCCCCACAGTGCCTCTGGTGAATCCTATCACTGCCCCTGCACCTCTGGCCTTTACCCCAGTTCTGTATGCATGAAATAAATAAATCTTTTAAAAATAAACAAACAAAACTGCTTTGAAAAAGGAGGGAAAATATTACATGTACATACTTTACCCATTTCATTTTAAGATGTAGCCAATTTTTACAAATCTTAAAATATGAAAAGTTGTATCTTAAAATTAAGTAAATAACAGAACTGTTTTGTTGGATTCATGGGGAAGTTGTAAAACACAAAACTGGATATTACATTGAAGACAATTTGAAAATTTCCGTAAAAGCTTTCTAAAAAGTAATCTGGGCAGTAATGTGCTGGTTATTTTGAGTCTTAGATCAATCTGTTCAAAACCAGTAGTGGATCCAAGGCTACGCTAAGAAAAGCATTGAATTCCTAGCTTTGCTTCTGTTTATAAAGTTTTCTAGCCAGATGATGATCTTTTCTAGATTCCTCAATTTCCAAAAAATTAACAACATAACTCACTT